TACTATGTTTTGTAACATATCTACTATGAGATGTGTAAATATGTGTTATATCAAAGTATAAATTCAGATGAAATATCCATGTTACTGCTACTCGTGAAGCATAAAATTCTTCTTGGAACTCATTTTCTAACATGAAGTGGGTTGTTATTGAAAAGAGCTTTACCAATATTCTTGAATAAAAGTAAAAATAAGTGCTTGGAATAAGTCTAGCGGAATATTTATTCAATTAAGAGTAAATTACTGAACTTTATTTGTTCTTCTTCTTCTTCTTTTTCTACATTGATAAAGATGTCTGAACTAACCGTCTATTACAGTTTCACGATTTTCATTACCAACATCTGCTGGAATCCTTGATATAGCTACCTCTTCTTCGTGCTTATCTCTTGGAATGTATAAATGAAGCAATCTGCAAAACATATTGGAAAATTTGGAAATTGGATAACTAGAGAACATCAAGTATCAGCTGTCATGATCTTAACAATGTTTTGAATGCCACTCTATATCTTCATTATACTTGTTACGGGCATTTGCATACATATCACACATATCTTATGTATTTACATATCGCACCCCTAAATTTCAAAATTCTTTTGTACCGTAATTTGAGTTCTCTTGTAAATGACCTTTTTCTTAATTTTATTTTCATGTATTGTTGGCTAAAATCTGATGCTTTTTTACCCCTTATTAAACTGATTTGATGAGTGATCCAATGTTGATCCAACGTCTCCACGTTTTTGAGTGAATAACAACCACATAACCCCTCAATAACCTCATAAAACCCTCTAATAACCAGTAAATAACCCCTATTTACACCGTGCTCATAATCGCCCCAATACCTCTAGTTAATGGAATGATAATCTTCCGATAACTTGTTAATAATCTCCAATTATACTGATTTGATGAGGGATCCTGCATTTTTGAGTCAATAACCAGTCAAAATCCTCTAAAAACGTTACAATAACTGCAAAATAAGCCTCCAATTATAACTGCAAAATAACCCTCCAACAAATCCACATTTTTTGCTACAATAAATCCCAAATAACCTCAAGAAAATTTCTTCTTCGTGCTTATCTTGGGAATCGTATTAATGAAGCAATCTACATATTGGACAATTCGGAAATTGGACAACCAGTGAACATCAAAGGGCAGTTGTCATGCTCATAACTATGTTTTGAATGCCACTCTATATCTCTGTTATACTTGTTAGGGGCATTTGCATACAAATCACACATATCTTATGTATTTACATATGACACCCCCTAACTTTCAAAATTCTCATGTACCATAATGTGAGCTCTCTTGTAAATGGTCTTTTTCTTAATGTTATTTTCATGTATTGTTGGCTAAAATATGACACATCTCTAACACCCTACTAAATTGATTTGATGAGTGATCCAACGACTCCACGTTTTTGAGTGAATAACAACCACATAACCCTTCAATAATCTCATAAAACCCTCCAATAATCCTAAAATAATCTGTCAATAACCCCTATTTATACCGTTCTCATAATTGCTCCAATAGCTTCATAGTATTTGTGTAATAACCCCCAATAATGGCATGATAACATCTTAATAACTTGTTAATAACCTCCAATTATACTGATTTTATGAAAGATCCTAGACTTAACATTTTTTGCGTCAATAAACAGTCAAAATCCTATAAAAAGTTTCAATAACTCCAAAATAACCCTTGCATAACGTGTCAATAATCGCCAATTGTACTGATTTGATGAGGGATCCAACGATTCCACTTTTTTTTGCTACAATAAACCCCAAATAACCTTTCAATAACCTTCTGAAAACCTCATCTTCGTGCTTATCTTGGGAAAGGTATAAATGAAGCAATCTACAAAACAGTTTGGAAAATTCAGAAATTAGATGACCAGAGAACAGCAAATGTCAGTTGTCATGCTCTTAACTATGTATTGGATGTCACTACTTTGTATTGGATGTCACGCTATATCTCCGTTATACTTGTTAGGGGCATTTGCATACAAATCACACATATCTTATGTTTTCATATCTTACGTATTTACATATCGCACCCCTAACTTTCAAAATTCTTATGTTACATAATGTGAGTTATCTTGTAAATGGACTTTTCCTTAATGTTATTTTCATGTTTTGTTGGCTAAAATATGACGCATCTCTAACACCCTACTAAATTGATTGGTGAGTGACCCAACGTCTCCAAGTTTTTTTAGTGAATAACAACCGTATAACCCTTCAATAACCTTATAAACCCTCCAATAACCCTCAAATAACCAGTCAATAACCCCTATTTGCACCGCGCTCATGATTGCTTCAATACCTTCAAAGCATTTGCATAATAACCCCCAATAAAGGCATAATAACCTCATAATAACTCGTTAGTAACATCCAATTATACATATTTTATGAAGTATCCTACGACTCCGCATTTTTTGCGTCCATAAATAGTCAAAATCCTATAAAAACGTTGCAGTAACTCCAAAATTACCCTTTCATAACGCGTCAAAAACCTCCAATTATATTGATTTGATGAGAGATCCAACGACTCCACCTTTTTTTGCTACAATAACCATTCAATAACCTAATGAAAACCTCTTCTTCGTGCTTATCTCGGGAGAGGTATAAATGAAGCAATTTGCAAAACAGATTGGAAAATTCAGGAATTGGATGAAGATGATTTCTTCTAGGCAGAAGGATTGCGAAGACGCCCCTACGATTGAAGCAGTCAACAATATCTTCATAATGATCCATTAGTCCCTAAAATGGAACGAAGAAACCTTTATAAAATTATTGAAAGGGTATGAGGATAAGAGTCTTTCACAAAGAAAATGCAATTTGCATCTTCAACATTTTAGATGTTAGTGGCATTTATTTACATACCACACAATTCTTATGTATTTACATATCCAACACCACAACTTTACCTTTTTTACATTAATACCACCAAAATCTTTTCATATCACATTAAAAATACCACCATTTTAACTTTTGAAAAGTGAAATACATCTCTATATGTGTTGTAAGGCGGCATGCAACTAAATATTGAAGTTTAATTCCTAGATATGCAAATACATTGGAATTGAGTGGTATGTATGTAAAACTCATCGTCTTCAACAAGCATGGATATCTCCAAATTCAACAAAATCTCTCTTTTGTTAAAATATTTTCAGGAGGAGAATAAGGAGATCAAGGCTGCTACTAAGAACAACATACAAAAAGACGATCATTCGAGCATTTTAATCAAGTGTATCGAAATATGTCATTGTTAGGTATGACTCATATCGTGTTTTGTAACCCCAATAGGGATAACCTTGCTTCAAGAAATCGAAAGCCGCCTCTATTCGCTCTCGATGACATAAGCACATTGCCAATCCTCGTTAAATCCTTGTTTTCTTTTGTCTTGATTGTTATGTTAATTCTTGCGTATTATTTGCCCTTCTTTCTTAACAACTAGAATTGGGAACTTGAGTTAGTTGGATTTGAATTAAGCTTTTTTTTTTTAAGATTATTATGTTTGCTTGATGATCGTGAAAATTGATTTAAGAAGTTTTGTTAAAATGTGTTTGAAGGTATTGAATTTAAATACTATGCACCTCAAGACCAGCTTTAATTGAATGTACCCTTCTATTGTTAGAAGAGATAATTAACCATAGGACTTACGCCAACGTGAAATCTCAATTCTAGATCAAAATTATCGCAAAATGAGGATGAAATGTCTAAGTGTTTTCTTATCTAAAATTTAATGTCCTTAAAAAATTTCACTCGAATTTTACATGAAATTTTCTAGTCATTTCTCAGCAGGGGTTGGAGCTCTAAATTTTGTAGCCTACATGATTGACATGCAATGGACAAATATATATATATATATATATATTGTATCTCATTTTTCCCTTCTTTTGTTCTTTTGAGAGCTTGAGCAAGCTCAAATCACTTTTTTTTTTTTTTTTTTTTGATGAAAGAGCATTATTCGGCTCTTTATGCATTGCTCACAAAAAAGAAGTACAAGAAAGAGGACCTTGCAACACACATAATACAACACACTTAAAAAACAAAATTAAAAACTATAGGTCCTCTTCTCCAAAAAAGAAAATACAACACAAACAAAAGAAAACAACTAACTAATATCCTTCAAAGCTAACAGCCACAGAATAGTAGGAACAATCTTAGAAACCATAGCACGATGCATCTTCAATCCGCATTTAGCCGCCCAATGAGCAAACCTTGTTACCTTCTTGCTGTGTATGAGACCACCTGATAATCAAATTTTGGGATAGTGCAATAATCTACCAAGGGTTCACATGTTAGTCACACAAATAAAAGTATTAAGTATATTGGTAGCAAGATTAAGTATTGAATTCAAGTTTATATCTTGATAAATAAAATATCCCTACATGTTATTATTAATTCTCGTACTCTAAAAGGAAATAACACATATAACCTTTACTGAATAAAAAATTCATTTTGCACTCATACAAATAACAATAAGAAACAAAAAGAAAAGAATAATGTTACATGTCAACAAAAAAACACACACATTCATAAAAAGGGAAAATTTTATCTCAAACTCCCAGCACCTTCGGCTCTTATAAATAGTAGGGACTATTCTAGCACTTCATATGCATATGTGAAAGGGTTCCTTGTGTAGCGCACAACATGGGTTCGCTCAAAGTTAGATGCGATGAACTGTGGGATTTGCTCTATTATATGCCAGTTTAGGCCTCCTTGCAAAAATCTCAAATGGGCTGTCATAGGAAGTGATTGTTAAAACAAAATCATCATCAACAGCAGTGGGCTTTCATTCTTCAAGCAGCCTTTTCAGCCATTTTGGAATTCCCTTCATATTTTCATCACCCAGCTCCAATCGCTGAAGAGAATCTAGTTTCTCCACACAGTTCAGTGATGGACAATCTTCCACACAAAGTTTGTATAGTGCTGGGAGATTAGACACCCTCTCCAGATTTTGATTTTTATTGTGATTTTTCTGGATTTCCATTTCTTCTATGTTGGGGAGATTTTCTACTGCATTAAGGCTTTGATCGGCAATTATGGAGAGAATCTTGCACTGTTCTAAGCCTTTTGGGAGTGCTTTCAGCTTTAGACAACAATGGATAGACAAACTTTTCAATTGAGGAAAAATATGCGCCTTTCCACTTCCGCGCTCAAGTCCTTCCGTCTCATTGTTGAAGCTCCACTCTTTCAGTTCTTCCATGCAGGCTATTTCAAGCTTTTGGAGATTGGGGAAGGCTGTTCTTGTTGTTGTATAGGTGCCGCCGCCAAGAAACTCAGCTCCGATGCTCTTCACCAAAGCTGCTTTTTGTATGCTTAGATGAGTTAATTGCGGCAACTCACCTACGGGTGGAAGTTGACGGCATGAAGAAAGATTCTTTAGGGTCAGTGTTGTCAAACAAGTAAGATGATCTCCGAAAGAAGGAGACTTCATCCAGCTTGGGTAAGGAGTGCCAAAGAAATTACTTATGACGAGCCTTTCCAGGCATTTGGGAGGCACAGCTTGTCCAAGACATCTTCTATGCGTGTGATGTCCTCTTCTGCTGTAAGAGGTTGATTTTCCGCTTCTGTGTAGAGTAATTGAAGTTCAATGAGGCGAGTTAATTTTCCAAGACTTGAAGCTCCTTGTTTAGCCCTTTCCATCCTCGAAATGCTGAGCGTTCTCAACTGGTAAAGAGAGTTCAGCTTCTCCAAGCTGCTGTAGGAGTCTTCTGGTTCTCTTGGATCAGCCACAACAAATCCACTGATGTAATTAATCTTCTCTAGCTTTGAAATGCCCTTTGGTATGGAGATTAGTGGAGTTTTTTTAAGATCAAGATAGCGTAGATTGTGCAGCCTAGTGATGGATTTAGGAAGCATCGTAAAAAAAGTGCACCCCCGAAGGTATAGGAACTGGAGGTTGATGAGGCTTCCTATAGATTCAGGCAACTCTCTGATTTTTGCAGAATTTAAATTAAGATTTCGTAAATACATCAGCTCGCCAATGGATTTGGGAATGCTATCGACATCAAGATTGTCAATTTTCAGCACACGAATTCGTTTTAATCCCATCAACTGATTATCATTCAACACCTTGATGCCATTGAAAGTAAGTAGAGTTCGCAAATATTTCTGCTCCACTACCAAATCTTTTATGGCTAATAAATTATTTCTAGTTCCAATTGATAGTCTTCGAAGTTTCATACTTGAAGAGATGGCAGTTGCAGCCATTGTCGTTGCTGAAAATATTTCATCTTTTGAGAGAAATATCGACATGGATCTCAATAAGTTGTGCATTCTACAATGATTGTCACGGGAATAAACTGGTAGCAGAAGGTTTCTCCCAATCAGTTCATTGTAATATCCTTCTGCTATATCTTCCTTTAATGAAACGGTTTGCTCTCTTATAAAGCCTTTGGCGATCCATAATCGAATCAGATCATCACGATAGATATGTGCATTCTCAGGAAACAAAGAGCAGTAAAGGAAGCATTGTTTGAGATGAGATGGAAGCTTGTCATAACTGCGGTACAGTGCACGGTGCAGTGGTTTGGGAAGGCTTCTAATGGACCACAAATCATTGTTAAGAACTCTTTCCCATTCTCTTCTACTTCTGTTTTTATTCGCCGCAAGAAGACCAGCAATGACCTCTATGGCTAGAGGGAGGCCAGAACATTTTTTAACAATCTGAAGTCCAGAATCTTTCAACTTTTTAATCTCTTCCTCTTCATCCAAAAAAACCTTTTTACAGAATATTTCCTAGCCAGTTTGATCAGAAAGTTCTTTGACTCGATGTACGTGTGCCGCCCCCATCTCCCTCGCAATCTTTTCATCTCTAGTTGTGACTAAGATCCTAAGGAACGCAGCACCGCTCTGTAATGGATTTCTAAACAGACCATTCCAAACATCTGCGCTCCAAACGTCATCCAAAACAAGAAAAAGGCTCTTCCCAATATAAGCGGCCCATCTCCTTCGGTCCCTTTTTTAATCGCATGCCGCAACAGTTCCATCTCATCATAATTGTGTGAAACGGAGATCCACACTTTGTATTGGAAGTCAACATGTATCTTCTTACTGTTGTATATCTTTTGCGCTAGTGTTGTTTTCCCTATGCCTCCCATCCCTGTAAGTGCAATGACGCGACATTTCTTCGCCTGCACTCCAACTATCAAGGGCAGCAGCTCTTTTGTGTCTTCTTCAATCTCTGTTCCCAGCACATTAACATCTACCAAGGGGGCAGTTTGGCTGGCGTTCACAGTCGTGATCGTTTGGAGCTTTGTTTGTTCTCTGCTCTCCTCCAACTTGAACTGTAACCTATCCTTATAGATCTCTTCCAGTTTATCATTAAGAGCTTTAATGCATTCTGCAATCTCATAACGACGCGGAATGCTTGCGAAGCAAGAGGATAAGTGTGAGCAGTCAAAGATGTTATGAAGTTTATCAACTTTATTTTGTACCTAAAAAGTATTGTAAGATTATTATTTAATGGAATGAAAGTAAAGGAAAAAAACGTTGAGTCTATTCAGAATTCAGCTTATTCACGCCAAACTTTGACAGAAGAATACCGTTAATCTTCTGGATGAGGATGGTCGGTCGGCTAGCGAAAGAACAGCACCTTCAATCATGCAGTGACCGATAATGTCGTCAGCATCATAAGCGACGTCTTTGAGCTCGCCTACCCAGTATTTGATGGCTGGATCTTCAAGTTGTTGCCGCTCCGCCGCCTCTAGGAACTTTTGGATTCTTTATTTTATTTTTAATCAAAATATTATTTTTCTTATTTTCAATCTGAAATGTAAGAAAAATAACATTTTAACAGCTAATCATATACCTTTATATTTTTTAACATGTTTCTCTATCCTGCTACGACAGGCGTCACAGTGCAGTTCGGTCTCCATGACGACCACGACCTTCTCAATCAAATCCTCAATAAATCAGTAATAAATCAACAAGTTAAAAATAATAAACAAAATTAATTTGAAATCTAATCTTTTCATCGATCTCACTTACTCCGTTCATCTTTGATTCTTTTGCTCTGGGAGTCTATATGCTGAAGGAATCGGAGAAGATACACATATATATAGTGAGACCAATAGAGGTGGGCAGCCACGCGACTCACTGTGAAGAGTAGTGGATTCAATGGCTGAGATTTACTTATTAATTTGCATATGCATGCATGCCATTCAATGGTTACATGCATGTGTGCATTAATTGGTAGGGCTTTAGTGATATGCATGTATGTATTTTGTAAATTTTCCTTCATGAAATTTGGACATTTATATATTTAGACCACCCAATTTTTAAGTGTTTGCATATTGGAACTTTGTACTTTTATATACATAATCGATGGACAACTACTACAGATAATCATCATTACTAGCAAATTTGAACTCAACCCACCTAGCAAAGTAGTTGCATTTCATCTCTTTCATGGAGGTAATCTAACCTACCTAAGGATGAACAACTACTTATAGATAATCATCATTACTAGCAAATTTGTTAGTACATACTTTTTTAAAATTATCGCCTAACATCTACGTTACTGTTAAGCAAAAATCATCCCTTTTTGAAATTATCGCCCGACCCTTTTTGAGATTTCGGGAACATAGCAGAAATCTCAAAAAGGTTGTGTCAACGGAAGTGATTGTTAAGCAAAAATCATGCTCAACATTAGCGGGCTTTCGTTCTTCAACAAGTTTTTTCAATCATTTTGGGATTTCCCTCGTATTTTCATTAATCAGCTCTAGTATTGTCAAACGAGGAAGATGACTTCCAAAAGATGGAGACTTCATCCAACTTGGGTATTGAGTGTCAAAAAATTACTTATGGGGAGCATTTCCAGACATTTGGGAGGACATAGCTCATCCAAGACATCCTCAATGCCTGTGGTTTTCATATCCCTCCCGTCCCAGCAAGTGTAATGACGCCGCATTTCATCGCCTGCTCTGTAACTATCAACGTCACTAACTGTCGTGCGGTTTCTTCAAACTCAGTTTCCAGCACATCAACATTTTCTAAGGGGGCAGTTTGCCAGGTGTTCACAGTTGTGATCGTTTGGAGCTTGGTTGTTCTCTGCTCTCCTCTAACTGGAATTGTAACCTATATTTGTAGATTACTTCCTGTTCATCATTAAGAGCTTTAATGCTTTCTGCAATCTCATAAGGACGCCGAACGCTTGCGAAGCAAGAGGATAAGCGATACTGTCCTCAGCATCATAAGCTACGTCTATCTTTACTGCTCTGTCGGAAGAAGATGGAGAGTAATTAAAGGCAAAGGAAAGTCAAAATTGGTCTCTATCAGCATTTACTAGACAAAAAGCAAAGGAAAGCTAAAAATAGGTCTCTGTCGTACATGCCGCAGAACCCTTATTTTGTTGATGGTAAATTTCTCTTATACAGTTCGGCCCAGGGGAGAGTAAGAGTTCTGCTCCAAAATCGCTGCTCAATTTAAGATCCCTGCCCATTTGACCAAGGCATGTGCTTTGCCCTGACTCTTGGCTAATGGGGGGTGGTGGATTTTAATGCATCCCACATGCGGTTTTAAAACTTAATGTAAAATTAAATTTTATTTATGCGATTTTGATATTATAGTATATGTGTGTTTATTAGCGATTTGAATATGGATAAAGAGTCATTTTTAGAATCCTAATAAAAAAATTATAAAATATTAACGATTAAAACAAAATTTAAAATATTAATTTTTTGAAATAAAATATTTTTTTTTAATAAATAAAATAATATGAATATATAAAAAATTAAATTTAAATGCTTGATGTTCAAATCTCACACTTCATAAAAAATTGTATTCCTCTTTTCCTGAGAAATAAAATATTTCCTCTATAATTTTTGTATGAGTTGTGTAAACCGGTTCAGAAGTTTTCAGAATCTTTGACAGCACTTATTTACATGTAAGTTTCTCCTTAGTGATGTTTGATTAATAGTTGATTAATTAAATTATCTTATAAAGCTCTCTTATTTATGATATTTATTTTTTTATTATTTTTCTTTTCTGTTGTAGCTTTATCAAATTAATCTTCCGCTTTTTTAGTCTTCGTAGGTCCGCCGCCATTAAATTTGCAGAAAAAATTTGACTTCCTTAATTTCTTGACGGACTGAAGGGTCAATTCTACTCAACTGGGTGGCTGACGCATGATGGGAGAAGCAGAAGGAAATAAAAAGCTCTTCATTAATTTCCTTGGGATTCTTTCTCTAGGTGTGAAGTTGGCATGCGGCAGAAGACAAAGGAGAAATAATTGTTTTAAAATTTGATTAGTTTATATATATATATCACTCTATAACGGTATAATCACTTTTAAAAGTTATAATAATTTTGAGCTAATTGAATTACTTTAAAATTTGATTAGTTTTTTAATTTATTTTAATTTGTGTTAGAAAATCAAAGAGTATATAATTGTTGAAAGAAAATTATGTCATACATGGATAGATTGATAAGTTATAAAAGTATAAGGTTGCTCTGTAATTTAAACACATAATAGCGGCTGTCGAGATGAGAATGATTCTAAAGACAAAATGTGAAATGTATATATAGGTGATAGGGTTGTTGTCGCTCCAATGACGGATAAAATTAGAGAGAGTCTATTTAGATGGTTTGGTTGTACAAAAATAGTTGATTATAACTTCTCGAGAAAGAAATGAGACAGGTACATCAACAAAAGAGTTGTAGTCTGACCCACGGGAGATATGAATACACTGTTGATGTACATCATCAAAAGAGTTGTAGTCTGACCCGCGGGAGATATGAATACATTGTTGATGTATGAAAACAAAATCACTCGATTAAAGATGAAGATAAAAATTAATCCCCAGCGGAGTCATCAAAATTTGTCGGTCGTCTTTTGAAATTTGTCGGTTGCTTTAATTTACATATATATAATTTTTAAAATTTTAAAATAGTCTTTTAATTTTGAAAAATGAAACTAAATAGATCTCATATATTTAATAGTTTAAATAATAGAACATAACACCGCAAGTAATACACAATCCCGAGAGATAGAAATATCATTCGATGGTGGGCTCGAATATATAAACTAACTAATTCATGATATTCGTTTAGTTTGCGAAATTTTTGACTGAAAATTTGCCTACTTAATATAAATATTAGATATGGTTTATTTTATATGGGTTCGGTTTCTAATTCCCTATAAAGACAAACTTATATAGTTAATTACATCTTAAATGATCGAAGTCGCTTAAAAAAGCTCTCAATTAAGATTAGAGATTTCATCTTTAAGAATTCAAAGTTCAGTGCTCATGATTGGACATAGGAAAATCAAATATGAAAAACTCAATGTGAAATAGTTATTTTAGGAATCCAATGGAGCAAAAAATATGAGATGTCGAATATACAGAGAAAACCTTAGTGACATCTCAAACTATCATACAATTTGGTATTATATCTTTGAGAGAGAAAATATTTGATGGTTTGATCCTATAATTTATTTAGAAATTTGAGACATATGCTCGTGCGATATACAATCATGCATATCGCCCGAGAAGATAAGAGGATTTACGTCGTATCAGACAAACAACCTCAGAACCCTAAAAATTTTTAAAGCTTATATTGCATGACATATGATCGTTTGAATGCTTAAAAAATAGCGTGAGGATTTACGTTGCGTCATACGAACATCCTCAATGTCATATGAGTTTGCGTTGTTTAAAACTACATAAATTTTAGCTGATTATCGTCTTTCGCTTTGTTTTTTTACCTTAATCGTCACATTAAATTGTCCTCCATCCTCTTGCATCCTCGTCTTGCTTCTCAGATAGCTTTCTCTAAACTCTTTTTTATGATGGTTTAGGGTTTAGGGTTTATGTTTATACTTTATGATTGTTGTTGGGTCTCAAGGCTTGTTGTAGCATTCCTCCTAAATAAGTGTCATATTGTCTCTACCCTAGGATTCTTTTACAGATATTGTAAATAACAGAATAATAACATTGCATGTATAAATAAAATATGTATGATAAGGCTCAAATAAGAAAGAAAGTGCATTAAAGAAAAAGAAGAAAAGTGATAGTACGCACCTCCTGCACGTGATGTTACTGCAAAAGAGTTAGTACCATAAATATAGTATAACAATGTGCAAAAATTAAATGAATCATGAGGAGATTAATGAAGCTTTGGGGTTTTTAATTAAGTTAAAATAAATATTTTAATTTTTTATTTTATAATTTTCTTCTTTATTCACTGAGCGCAGAGGCATTTTTATTTTATTTTTAGAAATTTTCTACATAAATATATGAATTTTTGAAGTTAAATAACATTTTTTGTATTTTATTAATTCAAAAAACTCATATTTTCCTACTTATCTGACTTAACACCGCGTCAACGTCGTATCCGTCGAAGCCCCACATGTCATGCGTTGATTGGTCGCGTTTTCCAAGTCCTCTGCTGACTCAGCCTGTAGTTCACATATCATTTCTTCGTCCAACTCGATCTCCGCCGTTCGTTCGACGCACGCACAAATGGACAACATCCGTTCATCGTCCCAAACATTTTATAAGGTACATGTAAAATGAAGTTTCGGTATTAGATATATAAATATATATAATCCGAGTGATATGCATGTGAATTTCCCCCTCCGTTTTTATTTTTGTTTGATGTAATCCTTATTAATATTATAGTTTCAAACTTGTGTTAATTTATATTTAATTTTGATTTTGAATTCATTATTAATTTAGATATTTAATTAATTCATATTTACTTTCAATTTAATTTTATAATTTGCTCTAATTTCGTTTGTTTATATATGAGACTTGGATTTAAAATTTACTTTTAACTTTGGAATTAACTTTGATCTAGCTTTATAATTTCAAATTAAATTTTAAGTTGAATTGAGTCTTATTTCAATTTTATTTTTAGTTGTTTTCATGTTAATTTGGGCCCCTTTTTTATTGGGTTTATTTAGTTAAATTTGAATTCGGGTTAATTTTAAATTTAATTTGGATTTAAACTTCTGGCCAAACCCAAGTCCCAACTCCCAACTCCCAAGTCTCAAGTCGGGTCCCCATCAACCACTTAAGTTTTTTTGAGAGAATTTTACCAAAAATTAGGTCACTAGCATTTTATAATGTAAAAACTATACAAATATGATGAAATTGCAATAAAACATTTCTAAATTATATATATATATATATATATATATTGTTGAGAAATTAGGGCAAAAAAAAAATAGAAATCGACACAAATCCAGAAGAACACACAGATATTTACGAGGTTCGACAAAGATGCATACATCATCGGGAGCAGAGCAACACTTAATTTTCAATATTTAGAAAAAGTACAAAATACAAGATTCAGCTCTCAGGATCTCAGAAGCTCTTAGAGACTCTATTAGGATTATAAACAAAACATATATATAACCTTATAATACAGTATATAATTATTTAAATTACCCTCCACCAAACCGCAAGGTGTTGCCCCTGCACCCCTAACCCACATAATGAAACTCCCCTAATTGGACATATTCTTCTACTCCACTCCGCTCGTGCGCTCCGCTTCGCTCCAATATCTGTTCCTTATATGGTATACGAGTCATACCATATATATATATATATATATATATATGATAAATTTGAAGATTTTATATCATATTCCATTTCCATCCAACCAAATATCAAAATTGGAAACATCATATATTTGATTTACTTAAAACCAAAATAAAAATTTCCAGAAACAAAAATTTATTTATTTATTTCTTTTTGCCAACAATCAGAGAAACAACACATGGAGAAACCTCTCCACCCAATCATCAAATATTTATTTCCACACCACACAACATAATTAAGCAATTGTTGGATGATCTCTTCGTTAAAGTGCTGAGGACCGCTCATCGATTCCAGGCCGCATCCCAATTCTCCTTCCCCTCTCCATCGCTTCCGTGGTCTCTGTCACTACCTCCATCCTCATTCCTCCCATGCCTATCATATCCATCATCCATCTCCTCTCTATTATTATTGTTCCCCCACCCGATTCTGCCGCTGTTTCCGGCCTCCTCTTCCTTCCTTCCATAGCCATACCTCTCCTCCTTCCCTATGCCCACACCCCCCACCCCCCTCCTCCTCTCTCTCCTTACCGTTCCTATGGCCATAGCCACCACTCCCCTCCTCACCGTTCCTATGGCCATAGCCACCACTCCCCTCCTCCTTCTTCCTGTTCTTCTTCTTCTCTCCGCCGAAGCCTCCCGCCCGATCACCACCTCCAAACTCTTCCTTCTTCCTTTCCTTCCTTCCACCATGGGATCTCTCCATGCCCCTCCGATCGTTGCCACCGCCATTATCATCACCTCCCATCTTGAAACTTCCACTTCTACTCGCCGCATTCGGCTTCTCCTTTGCACCCTCGTTTCTATAGCCACTGTTGTCCTCTCCGTCACTCTCCATTGAAACAATCTTAACCTCACGTTTCAGCTTTTTCTTCAGCTGCAATTGTAGTGTATCAGCGTTGACTGTCCCTTGAACGGTCACCAACCCTTTTTCGGCATCAATATGTATCATTTTTACCCCTGCGCATATTTGCAATTATGAAAATATTAGGGATAAAATTACATACTGTTAATTTGCATAGCAATTCACTTTATTTAATATAAATAAATAAAATAAAGTAAAAAAAAAATTACCATAAAGCTCAAGAAGAATCTTTATGACTTTGTCGACACAGCCCTTGCAGTCTAGTATAGTCTTCAGCACCACAGTAGGAGCCGACAACTAACGTATTAACAATAAAATAAAAAGGATTAATTAATATATTCTTTGCTCAGCGACTTGAGTGCAATATATATATATATACCGGCTTCTTGCCGAATAACCAGCTAAAGCTGCCGCCTCTCTTGCAGGAGAGAGCGGCGGCGGCCTCCTTGTTCCGTGGACTCTCCGTCCCAACAACCTCAACGTCCTCGGGAACTTTATCTCTTACATGATCCTCAAGCTTGCCTGGGTCCACATTCCCTAAAACTCTCACGGTATTGCTCTCCGCGTCGACTTTCACTGCTAGCACTCCTAAAATCCAAATAATAATATAATAAATTTAAAATAAAAAATAAAAAATAATTTTTAAAATATTCCTTCCTCTCAGAAAAATTTATGATCTGTTTGGGGCAGCTTATAAGTGCGGGCCGCGTTTTCAAAACGCCGCCGTATCGTTTGGTTCGCGTGTTTCGTCAGTTTATCCGAAACTGCTTTTGGGTTTTTACACTAAACGCAGGCTGCGGGTCGACCCCTACGGCTGGCCTGCCGGCCGCGTTTCAGAATAAACAGCTTATCTTGAAACGTACAAGCTGCCCCAAACGGACCCTTACAAAGATACCTCACAAGTTTTATATATATATATATATATATATATATATCCGTTGCCAAGACAGCATGATTTCACTTGTTTATGATTACTTCTTTAGTTTTCAATAATATTTTCAGCATATTTTTTATTCTTTTTTTTAAATTTTCAAAACATATAAAATAGATTTGAAATGAAAACAAATTAATATATTATAAAATATAAAATATTTTTAATTTATTTCAAATATAACATAAATAAAATAAAATGATCAAAACTCATTCCAAATGGTCATAAATTTTTTTATATTTTGGTGCTTATTGTCATTTTACCAACTAATTAAATACCTTCAAGATTTTTAATATGTGCCTTTATCTTCCTACCACAGCCTTCACAATGTATATTGGCCCTGAGAACGACGACTTGAGGCGACTCCACCTTCTCAATCAAATCATCATGAAGTCAGTAATAAATCAAACAAATTAAATATAAATGTAAACGAAATTAATTTGAAATATAATTTGTTCATCGATCTCACTCACTTCTCCCATCTCTGACTCTCTTACTTCAGTGAGTTCTATATACTGAAGGAAGTGGAGAAGATGCATATATATAAACAAGAGGTGGTCCACGTGGCTCATTGTGAAGAGCGGTGGATTCAATGGGTGAGATTTACTTATTAATTTACGTATTATGTGCATGCATGCCATGCAATGGTTATGTGAACATGTCTATTAATTGGCAGGGCTTTAGTGGTATGTATGTATGTAATTTGTAAATTTTCCTTTAAGAAATTGGGGCATTCATGTATAGACCACCGAATTTTTATGTATTTAAATATTTGACATTTGTACTTTTACATACATAAATACAATTATATATCTAATATGTAAGGTTTTTATGGGCACTTTAACAATGGAAACTAATACACTGAGCTAACCTACCTGTCGAAATTGATGAACTTAGCTCACCTGGCAAAGTAGTTGCAGTTCATCTCTTTTGTGGATATAAGCTAGCCCACGTAAGGATGGACAACTACTATAGATGATCATCATCAATAGCAAATTTGCAAGTTCAAACTTTTTAAAATTGTCGCTAAACATCCACATCGCGGTTTTTTCTTCAAAGCATCAAAATGTGTCATATTGTATTAAATATATTTTTCTATCATTTGTGTCTTTTTTTAATAAAACTAAAGTCAAATCAGAGCGAGGGGAATCATGAATCTTTTACCATTATCTCTCTCTCTCTCTAAAAATATTGTAATTTAGGAAACCTCCCTTAAGACATTTTTTTGGTTTACTGGTGGTTCAAGTTCAATACACAATTCTTGAGACATTCTCTAAAGCCTCATCCAACTCTCTCTTATATTGTCTTCATCTTGCAATATAAGATATTTTATTTTTATTGCTTTCATCTTGCAAGTATTTAGTTAAGTTAATTAGTTGTTTATTTTATTTTCATATATCAAATTTAAAAAAATTAATCGAACTTTCATTCCTATTATAGCATCTTGAGTTTAAGTAAGAATATTTTGCTAAGTAAAATTTTGTTGTCTAATTTCTCCTGTTTTATAAAGTGCATATTATCAATTTTCCATGTGGATTCGATATTCGAGACTTAATAAAAAAACCTTATATTACTTAATAACAATATGTATATTTGAGTAGTATCCAATATTTTATTATTATTATAATTTTATTATTTTTTTGCTTCATAGTGGAAAATTTACCTAGCTTTTGCTTGGATCAAGTTTTTTGCTTTGTTGCAAAGTAGAAATAATTAATAAAGAAATCAAACATATAATCACATACATCACATTTCACATCTATATAGAAAATCAGGATCAGTACCCTAAATGTAACACCCCATATGAAAGATCATTTTAAAGTGATATCAATTTTACATATAAGCTATTGAAGACAAATAAAGTTAAGTTTTTTTCAAGAATTTTCTCCCCCCTTAAAACTTAATTTTTAGCATGTATAACATTAAGCACAAGAATATAAACTGGGAGAAAAAAAACTAAATTACTATTTATCACATGAGTATATCACTAAAAATATATAAGTATAAGATGAAAAGGCAAATATGTATAAGTAAGTGAATCTCAGTTCAACATAAGTCTGGCTCTCAATTGGTAGTAAACTAAATCAATAAATTTATTGAAACACAAGATAAGATTATTTTTAAGTACCTAATAAAATTCAAATCAGTGGTATACAATCTTAAGCATTTCTAAATAAAACATATCCCATGAGAAAAGAATCAACTTGTTGACCCACTATTCAAAAGAGAAGGCAACTAAAACAAATGATCTATCATCATAAATCAACCGATCATCGAGAAAGTTAAAGTTGTAAAGCTATAAGTGCGGTCAACCAACATTAGGTCAATCCCATAAGAGGATACATGTTGTTAGGTGCCATCCCAAAGAAAAGACGTGAAATTAAGATTTATGCAAGAGGTCCTTTCAAGGGAATGCATAAGTCACTCTGGAGGAAGGACTCTATCACATAGAATTCTAAAGCAATATTATTATTGACCTACCCTTTGGAATGATGGTAAAGAATTCTCCATTAAATATTAGCAGTGTTAGAAGTTCACCCTAATGCGACTTCAACCATCACACAAATTATAACCTATAAATAGTCATTGGCCTTTTGCAAATAAGGAATGGATCTATCGGGACCTCTTCCCCCTGTTAAAGGATAACGAAATTATACTCTTGTTATGAACAATTATTTATCCAAGTGTATCAAGGCCAAGCCTCTAGGCAAAATTATAGCCGACGTAGTCCAGAATTTCATATGAACTGACATCATTTGTAGATACTAAATACTCATGATTATCATCACTGACAATGAAACCCTATTTGTCAACAAGAAAGCGAAAAAAATTTAAAGTAACCAAGGAGTATCTCTAAATATCACATTTGTATAGTATCTCAAAATCATTAGTAAGGTAGAAGCAACCAATAAGCTCATCTTGAGCTTACTCAAAAATAAGCTAGAAAAAAGCAAAAACAAACGGGTTGAAGTGTTGTCATCGGTCTTATGGGCGCTTCGCACTACACCTTCAACCTTCACCTTATCTCATGGGGTTGAATCAGTGCTTTCCGTAGAGTATGACATATTCAACTAACTAGTCCTTCCTTCATTTAATTTTAAGGAGATCATAATTAAAGAGTGAAAAATGGTTAATCACAAAAGCCTACAAGATTATTTAGACCTACTAGAATAACATAAAGATCAATTGTGTTTGAGATAAGAAGAGATCCAAAGAATAATAATCAAATATTATAATTTAAGAGATAAGAAGCTATTATAATTTAAGAGATAAGAAGCAGTGATTCAAGATGGGTGATATAGCGTTGAAGAAGGTGGATACTGTAGCTCGTGATCAGGCACTAGGAAAACTTTTTCCTTCCAGTTTCAAACTTTACATAATCAAGGAACAAGCAGCTTATAAGCTCATTGCCCATTCAGACAAAGAAGCCCCAGAGAAATAGAGTAAGGGTGATTTGAATATATTTTACCTTTACAGTGGCAGCATAACCTCATCTACCAAAAATTTAAGTGCTCTTTTAACTCATCTGTAGGCATTTTATTTTAATACTCAAGCAACATAGTGAAAAACTCATGAGCAGCTTATTACAAATCAAAAGAAAATAGAATGTCATTATAAGGGTAGTGGCTACTCTCTCAAGAATGTTGGAGACCCCCAATACACCTTGTAGTGGTAGTAATTATAAGCTTATAAAGATGTCAGCCATGTAGGAGAGACGAAGACTTCTCAAGTTGAAGGATAGTCTTATCTTATAATTGACTCTTTTTTTCTTAAATAAGTGAAGATTTATGATGCTCTAGATGTATAAAAAAAATACTTTGAACATATTAATTTTACAATTAATAATGTGAAAGTATTCTCATCCCTTATAATCTACTTGAAGGTAAATGTCAAATTACAATAATTATATCCTACAACCTAAGAAAGACAATGGGAACTCTCAGATTTAGAATGGTTACAATACATAATCAATTCTTATAGTAAGTAAAAGAAGAGTACAATGTATGAATTCATAACTACTTTGAGAAATTATAAAATTATGATATGAAAATTTTTGGGAAATTGAAAAACCATAGATCAACCCTTTCATGCCATCTAATAATAGAGGCCGCTGCCAAAAACCTTGTGTGAAACTAGAAATAGGAAGATCGTAGAAGGGTAAAAAAATCATCACCTATGGTTCATATGCCTCAAGAGTCCGAGCAACTGATTAGCTAGTGTGCTAGGATGCCTTTGGCTAGTAAACCCATAAGACCGACGAGCATCGACAAGGACCAATCATTTATTGAAAGAGATTCATTATTGGGAAGAGTGTCTCCCCCCAAAATGTGATAATAAAATTTTTTAACCTCTAAAACCAAATAATTTCATGTTTGGAGTCGTTGAGCAAGAAGTTTCCTATTTTGGAGTTCAATGAACAAGCGGAGTAAAGTTAAGGAAAGAGGATCAAACGATCCATTATCTTCATCCTTTCAAGATCTTGCTCTCCAAAACCATCAAAGGATGTAGAAAAAAATTCTTTCACATTTCAAAATTATAATAACGAGTTTTCACTGGTAGCTTCCATGTCTATTTATAACCAAAAGAGGTCAGTAACTGACAAAGAAAGTGAAAATACTTAATGATTTCAACAAGTTGCACTGGGAAATACAAAGCATAATAAATTAACCCTTAAAATTCTTTTGAGAAACTCATAATAATGTATTTTCCTTTATTTCATTAAATGACACCTACTCTTATCCTTTTAGTAGGATCCACAATAACAAGACTAGTCGGGCCTAGTTTTTTAGAAGGAGGGGCAATGACCCATCAATTTTGAGAATACCTCTAGTGCATAAAAATTCATTGAATTAACCATCACAAAAACAACTCACAATCCATATCAAAAACAACCCCACCGTAGCATAGAATAGTGTAAGGATATGAATGATTGAATTCAAAATACGAGCTCAATGATGGTCTTTGCTTCAAATTGATTTTCGAAGTGTTGAAAACCCAATTCAGCATAGCCCCAAAATTTTCCTAGAAACCAATCATAAAAAAATATTTCTCATCTTCAAAAAGTTCAAGTGTGATTTTACTCTAGACACTTATTAGCCGCTCAAAGGAGTAGGAGATGTCAGGCAATAAAAAAAACCTTGTCAGGGTAGCTAAAAACCCCCAAGAAGGAAAGTTCTGTAGGAAAATCAAAAGACATATGAATTGAAAAAGGATGTATATGAGTTTAAAGTATGTTAGGTCTCATAAAGATAATTGTTAGCTAAGGATAAGTATCACCGTCACATTCAATTTAGTTAGAAACTACACCGGAGAACTCGTGTACATTACAAGCAAGCTTAGAGACAACAAATATTATCACAGAAAAAAGT